TGGCCACCGCAGTCATTGGCTGACACTGACCGCTGACCACCGTAGTCATTGGCTGACACTGACCGCTGGCCACCGCAGTCATTGGCTGACACTGAGTAGTCATTGGCTGACACTGACCGCTGACCACCGCAGTCATTGGCTGACAATAACTGCCGTAATTATGACACTGAGTAGTCATTGGCTGATGCAGGCTGCTGTAGTCATTGGCTGACTTCTGGTTAGAGAAATTTGGAGACATCTCAACAAATCAACAAAAAGCTGATTAGAGTTTCCAAATAAAATGGAAGAGGGGAATGTGAAGGTCTTTTCCAAGGATTCAGGGGAACAAGTGGGTGGGGGCTGGGGAGGAGAGCGTGGTCAGGAAAAGGGCTGTTTTTCCTTTTGCATGATGAAATGGCAGCATATTTATATGCCAATGGGAATAATCTAGTTTTTTCAACTGTAAAAAAGATAAATAATAGACTCTCTCTTAGTTTAGTTAAGAGGATTAAACTTGGCAAAGCGTGGCGTAGATGAGTGTTCAGTGTATACTGAGCGTGCACAACAGAAATCATCTCCCCTACCTTCCAGACCAAGCAAGAGAAGACACATAACAGAAGCCCACATAGTGTGGCAGGCGCTTCTGGTGCCAGGCGTGGGAAGCTAGAGAATGTAAGACATTCCGAGGGTTGTGGGGGGTGGTGTGGGATGCTGGAGTCTAAGGAGTGTCAGTGATACCTTAGCTGCGCCACACTAGTGAGGCAGGCCAGCAGGAAACCCGAGCTTGCCTGCAAGGAGGGAAGGGTGAGGATTTAATCCTGCATGTCATTCTGTCTTCAGCCTGATTTTCCCTGGTGTCCGCCTGGCCTCCGACAGCCAGTTCAGCGATTTCCTTGATGGCCTGGGCCCTGCTCAGCTAGTGGGCCGCCAGACCCTGGCCACTCCTGCAATGGGTAAGAGTTTCTGTGATTTCATCGTTTTTCCTCTTACATGACTGAAAATCACATTCCTTCAATTTCATGATACTTTTAACAAAATTACCAGCAAGAATAAAGGGTCCCAGATTTTAACAGTAAATATTCTTAGTTTTTTTCTTTTGTGATTTCTGTTTGTCTTTAAAGTAACACACTGCTGAGAACGTTTAAATCTTAAAGAATGAATACATCTGGGGACTGTCTGAAGCCAAGTTCTTTGGTTCACGCTCTCCTCCTCCTTCCTGTGTTTCTTCCCTGTGTCGCACCAGGTGACATCCAGGTGGGGATGATGGACAAAAAAGGACAGTTGGAGGTGGAAATCATTCGGGCTCGAGGCCTTGTTGTCAAACCAGGTTCCAAGACACTGCCAGGTAAATCAGCAGAAAGCATTCCACTGTTATTTCTCATGGTCGGGGTTGCTCTGATGGGAACATTTCCCCTCTCGGCTGCAGCCTTCTTAGTCAAGACGTGAGTGGTAACTGTTACTGTGCTGCTTGGGGATACAGCAGTTCGCATGCACCTGAGGGGGCCGTGCGCGAGTGCTCTCGTGGGTACCCTACGAGGTTTTGAACAGACCTACATGGTTGAGACCCCATCTCTAGAGGAGCCCACTGTCCAGAGTGTGCACTAGAATTTCATTGTCCGGTTAGCTGCTGTTTTATGATACTCTTGAGTTTTCCAGGGACTTCACATTTGTCCCTAGGCATCCTTCAAGCTCTGGAATTAGAATAAAAATAGACTAGCTCCACACAGTCCCATAAGCCTACGAATGCTGCCTACCTAAGACAACGTTCAGTCCTTCCTGCAGCATGTGAGAGGCTGTACCATAACCTGACGCCACACGTTTCATATTGAAACACCATTATAAGTCAAGGTGCTTGGAGCCATAGAAATGGCAGAGTCTGAGTATGCTGTGTGCAGAGATCAGTAGATCCAGTATATAAGGCTGTGAATTCTGAAAGTACTCCTAACCCGGCATCTGTACTGACTTACAATTCTTCATTTCTCTCTCGACTCCTCAGTCCTTGAAGGAATTTTTAAATGAAGTGCATGTTACTGACTGTATCACTTTGAAATTGTGGTATAGAGGTCTTGAGGATAATTGACTCCTTCACCATAATTAATTAATAGCATGAGACATGCAGGAACATGCTTTTCATAAAAGTGTCTGTCATAGAGGCTTTAGTCATAGAATTCCTGCTGAACTGTCTCTCCAAGTTACTTTTGAGCATGCCACCTCAGAGCCCACCCCTGTCTTGTGCTCACACCATTATCAGCTGATAAATGCCTTTGAATGTCGGTGAGCTGTGGGGGTGAACGTAACAGCCTCATTTTAAGCATGTTTAATGAGATCAAAATTTTGGTAATTTAAAGACATTGCCTTTGGATCTCGTTAGGGACCCGAAACATTTTGCCTTTTTAATTCAACATTTAAATCCTTACAAGAGATGGGGAAGGGGAAAGACTCTCAAATCTCAAAGGCCATGTCAACAAACTTAAAACTGCACGGCTGACGAGTGTCCTGTGGTTTTGACACGGAAGGCAGGCCATGGCTGGAGTGCTGCCAGCCAGCTCTCAGGGAAGACGGGCCATTGTTCTTGTCCCCTGTGAACCGGCCAGTTCATAGCTGCAGGCGTCACTGCCTGTCCTCTCTCCCCAGCACCGTACGTCAAGGTGTATCTGTTAGACAACGGAGTCTGCATAGCCAAGAAGAAGACGAAGGTGGCGAGGAAGACCCTGGAGCCCCTGTATCAGCAGCTCTTGTCCTTCGAGGAGAGCCCCCAGGGGAAGGTGTTACAGGTGCGTGCTCAGTGCCGGCCTCTGCTGGGGAAAGGCTTGCCCGAAGCCTGCCCTAGACCTGCTCTCTGTCCTGTTCCTCGTGGCTGAAGTTCTCTGTCACCTGGAAGGCAGTGGCCAGTGCTCGACAGCTGTGTTTGCTGTTGTCCCCATCACAGGGGAATCCCCCCCAGACGTTCAGACCTGGGTTACACACCAGCTTTGCTCCTTGTGTGGCTTCAGACACTGTAGTGAGGTTTTCCTAATGTAACCCTGGCTTCTGGGATTTAAAGGCAACATTGCCATTCATCAGGCTCTGGCACTTGAACTTGACCTTTGACAACAGCACATGAGCTGAACACATTTCACTAGTTTATTATGACTTTGCTTGTCTGTTGTGATGTGTGCGTTTATACTAACATTACTTTTTATTTTGCCAACAGATCATTGTCTGGGGAGATTATGGCCGCATGGACCACAAATCCTTTATGGGAGTGGCACAGATACTTTTAGACGAACTAGAACTATCCAATATGGTGATTGGATGGTTCAAACTCTTCCCGCCTTCCTCCCTAGTAGATCCAACCTTGGCACCTCTGACAAGAAGAGCTTCCCAATCGTCTCTGGAAAGTTCTACTGGACCTTCTTACTCTCGTTCATAGCAACTATAAAACTGTTGTCACAACAACCAGCGATACAGAAACAGGAGAAAATGCACAGGTCGAAACCCCTGGTAACACTGCATGCTTGATGTTGTGTCTTTGGAGCCCACGTCTAGGGATACAAAGCGATCCTGTGTTCTCAGAGGAAGTCGTACACATTGTGCCCTAGCGAAGGCCCTCAGGTCGAAGAGCAGAGCTGTGAAGAACTGTCAGGTTTGGAGTTCAGTGACACTCAGTTCCGGTCCAATCTGAAGCCATGGATTAATCTCAAAGAATCAGTCAGCCCTTTTCAATGGCACCTTTATATTTTTATCGTTTTTCTTCATTTGTCTGACCCCAAAGCCTGTTAGGCCACAGAAATGGAGCTCTACAGCCATTAAGCCACACTACAGGCCAAGAAGCAAAGTCCTAGGAAGCGTCAGGTGAAAAGCAAGAGACCAAAGACGTGGTCAGGAGCAAAGTTGGCCACCGCTCCCAAGGGGGCTCCGGCAGGGAGACTGGTAGACTCTGGGAAGCCCCAGGAGGCATGGCATTCACTAATGCCGAGATGTGTTGGATTCTGAAATCAAAATTCTGGGACTGCACTGTACTGAATGAAATTAAAGAAACTTTTTTTTGCATGGACACAGATTAGCTGAATATTTAAATTATTTTCTCGGGGCTGCAACTTGCAAAAAAAATAATAATAAAATAAAATAAAAATCAGCCATTTTCAACAATTTATATTATTTTTAAAAGTAAATTTCACTAGTGCATGGTTTTAAAATGGGAGAGAATGCAACAGGGTGATACAAAGACACACCATGTTTATTCTTTAATCATAGTCTGTGTTTTGGCAGACATTACAAATGAAAATACTTTCTAGCAGATACTTAAAATCCTCTTTATGTGACAATAAGTATAATATATTCAATTTATTTCCATGTTAAATATACAGATCTTATGAAGTTCACTATGTGCAAATTTTTCACATCTTTCCTCTTCTCTATCTCACTTTTCTTCCCACTTTGAACCTTTGTTTCCTTCTCTCTTCCTGAGTGAACCCCCATACTAAAATACTACAAATCGTTCACCTGGCCCTCTGATGCCCCATATTTGATTCAGAGCACAGATGCGTCTGAATTTATGGATTTCTCAAATCTGTCCGAGAGCTTTCTTTATTTCAAGCATGTTGAAAGGATTTTGCAACATGACTTGGGACATAAGCAAGTCAGCACGTATTTGACAAAGAAGATATTTGAACATTTGCAGTTTATTGTACAGTGCATGGTAATTTTTTTTCACCTTAAAAATTCAGTTTACAGGAAAATCCTAAAATCACGTGGCATTGTAATGTCTAACAAATTTGTTTTTAGCACCAGCATTATTCATACAGGGGGTTAAGTATTATTTGTAGGTCTTAGGTTTTGTTTGTTTTTTAATTTGTTAAAGCAATTTCGTTAGCTGATTTCCATTTACTATGTGAATAGAAACACTGCTAAATATGTGGAGCCCTGAAACACAGGGCTGTTTATTAATTCATTTTTCTGTAGTAAAATTCAATTTTTCACAAATTATATTTCTAAAGAAATATAGTAAACATAAATTTGCAACAATTTTAAAGCTCCAATTTTTAGATGACTCGAAGAACGTCAATATGCCTCTTAACAGTTATTTGACGCCGTCACCAAAAGTCTACATGCAGACCCTCAAGTCAAAACCCCACGTGCGTGCGGTTCACGGGCAGTTTTTACCTTTAGTGACGCTGCAAGGTCCAGTTTCTCTCCAGGTCCCTACTGAGAGGAAATGTCACTGGTCAATGTAACAAACCACTCATCCTTTCTGTTCCTCACATGTGCTTTGATTACACATCCTTAAAGATTGCTTTTATCTCCTTGCAATAATTTTTGAAATCCATCTACATCCCGTTTGTTTAAATGGAGGCCATGCACACACAAAAAAAATATTTTCTTTGTTTCTCTTTTTGAATTCAATGCTGACCATTGAAAACTGTCATGCTTGATATGGTGCAAAAGTTAAAATGAGCTATCACTCAAAATGCCTTCTCTTTATGTGGTGCAACATGAACTACACCAAGACCGTGTCTTGATTTTCTGAGACCTATGGCAGACCCAGGCGAAGGTGAGACAAGAAGGAACATAATGCTATGAGATACTTTCGACACCTGCGTACCAGCAGCGATTTGGTTTAAGAGACCTGTAGCGTCTTTGTTCTCCCTTAGGCTAGACATTCACTATGTTCCTGACACTAAAATGAGTCACAGAATCTTTTCTGCATATTCCTATACAAATTATTTCTAATTTTACTAAGAAAGACATGACTGTGGAATATTTGTACATACTTGTCATTATGCAGTATTTATTTAAAAGTTGGTGTACCTTTTTTTCATTTTCACATGTCTGCACCTCGACTTGTGGTTCCGTCGTGTAAATAGCACATGCCAGTGACCGTTGCTGCCCTGTACATACAATGTTTTCAAGTAAAGGGAATTCCAGTTGGGGAAAAATGGGGGGAGGGCAGATTAGGCCTGTAACAAACACCGACTGATGTCAATCAAATTCATTCTGGTGATGGTATTTAACACTTTAAATAAACCATTTTCTTTACATATGTTGTGCATGGTGCTTCCTGAGATGTCTCCACTGGTATCCCCAAGCCTGCCGCCATTCAGCCTGTGAACTTGCTTATCTTTTTCAGGTGGTAGCACTAATTCTCCTCCTTCCTCATGACATGAATGGGTTTCTGGCTTTACCACACTGCTGTTAGCAGACAGTGTCCATAAAGACTAGGAAGATTTCTGCTGTTATCGTTAAGAGTTGCTAGAGTGCTTTCCAGTTAAATGACTCACAGCTTAGAGTTTATGAGCAGAATGAATGAGATTTTAGAGTTCATCCGGAGAGTTACTGACAGCAGGATTACTGTGTCTTAGTTACTGTTCTATTGTGAAGAGACTCTATGACCAAGGCAACTTGTAGAAGAAAGCATTTAATTGGGGGCTGGCTTAGAGTTTCAGAGGTTTGGTCCACTATCATTATGGTGTAGATCATGGCGGCATGCAGACACTGGAGCAGTATCTGAGATCTAGATTCCCATCTGAAGACAGAAAGAGGGAAAGCAAAACATGCTTGGCCCAGTGTGAGCTTTTGAAACTGCAAAGCCCAACCCCAGTGACACACCTCCTCCAGCAAAGCCACACTTCCTAATCCTTCCCAAACAGTTCCACTAGCTGAGAACAAAGCACTTAAAAATACGAGCCTATGGGCGGCATTCTCATCGAACCACCACACCGAGTCCTGGTCCCTGGGTGAAGATGACAAGCCAAGTCATCATCCCACTGATTCATTTCCATTGCAGAGTCTCTTCAGCTTTGTGAGGGGCCGGGGATTATTTCCAGTTGTGGAGACGCATAGGAACATGACCTAACAATGTGTCCGAAGACTGGCTTACACTGTGTTAGTGTAAGTGGATGAGACTATCACCACATCCTTCCATGGCAGTTCCTGAAACCCAAAGCAAGACAACCCCAGAAGAGTTGCCATCGGGTTGTCCATAGGCTCTGAAATCGGGTACTAGTTGGGGTTCACATTCAGCAATACTGTCTCCATTTTGGGTCATGACCATTTCCTCTATTTCCAATGATTCTCTTCTATCCCAGCTTCCCACACATCGAGTACTAGTTTTCATTGTCCAAAGTACTTCCCTATTCTAGTGAGGTATTTCTCTTGCTGCCTGAGAACTACTTTTATAAAGGCCCAAGAGTTTCTTCTATGTCCTCTTCTGAAAAGCCCTTCATTGTTCTCAAAACTGATCATCTTGGTTCCTTTTGCAACTCTCAGGAACAGTTCCTGACTTAATTTTTGCAGCATGATTGCCATTAAGGGTAATGCCTTCCATTCACATAACCAGGACTTGGGTGCCCAAGTTCCACAGCCAACAACAAAGGTGATGGTCACTCTTACTTGGGCTATGACAGGAGTAGGTAAGAAATCAGTCATCAAAGATGACCTTTACCACTCAGTACACTTAAAAAGCTTGTGCTCTCCACCTCTGTCTCCACTGGATCATCTTGTGAGGCCTTCTATGCCCACTGGTATTTATGGACAATATAAGCTGTAGATCACACACCCACTTCTAGCTTGTGAAATGTGTATTGAGCAATAGTATGGGAGATGAGAGTTTGAAAATGACTGGACAGTTGCCCTCTTAGCACAGCAGGCAAGCATGTAAGTCCCTTCGTCTGAAAATGACAGAACAAAACCTCTGCACCGTTCACATTCTCCCTGGGGCTCAGCTCCAATCACAGAACCTCTGGCGTTCGTTTCCACTATGTGGGAGTAGTGAGAGGAGTCAGCTACTCTTCGGCCATTAAATCAAAATTTTGACTAGCAGTCAAGATTTTACATCCCAGGGACACGCGTGATTCTGGTCTTTGGTTTTGGTTTTTGTTTGTTTCCCCAATGGTAAGAAAAATGTTTGCCATATATGTGTTTAATAAACACCTGCCAAATGAACTGAATTTAGTCTTTACATTGTTTAGAAGCATTTTGTCCCAGGCAGAGCAGTGAACAAAACAAACATGGCCACCCACGGGGAAGCTTTCGTTCTACAAAAGACACCCAGGGTGAAGAATCACAAATGGAGCTATAGCATTCCACATGTGAAATCTCTAGATTCATGAGAAGGTACAGTGACGTGTTCAACCCGGTCAGGCAGTGGGGTAGCTGGTGTCTGCAAACTGTTCAATTGAAGGAAGATCAAGACAGTGGGAAGCTAGGGCAAGATGAAAATAGACTAAGAGAGAAGTCTGAGTCTACCACCTTTGTCTCTATGGTGTCTAGAACAGTGACACGTTAAAAAGTACTTGTGAGTCTGGATTATTCTAGAATCAATAAAGAATTGGTGTTTGTTTGAAAAGCTAGTTTTTGTAAATATTCATTTTATTTTTAAATGTATAGTGGGTGGGGTGTATCCATGTAAGTGCAGATGCCTTCAGGAGCCAGAGAGACGCAGGATTCCTTGAGCAGGAATGCAGTCAGTTGTGAGATGCCTAACATAGGTTCTGGGAACCTTTGGGTCCTTGAGAAGACCAATGAACACTCTTAACTGAAGAGCCATGTCTACAGCCCCAAGAAGCTTGTTTTGATTTAATGGGAGAGAGACCTAGTTATCAATAAGATGGTTGATGTGAAGATTCCTCTGCGCTGTTCCATCTGAAATGCCTCCCTGGAGGCCTCTTACTTCCTCACCCACCAATATTGTTCTCATAAGCCCTGCCATGTTCTAATCTTTCCCGCTGCCGTGTCCCCTGGTGGTGAACTAGGGGCACAGACTCAAGTCAACCCTGTGCCTAACCTGTGAACGGCTTTTGTTGGTGTTCTGTTTTACTTTGCCTTGACACCAAAGAGGCTGCCCATCACCTCTATTAGATGCAAAAGAGAAGCTCAAGATGCTGGTGTCTCTGCTTTCTGATGACTCATCAAAGCTGGTTTTCCATAAGAGAAGATGGGTCAGCAGAGCCAAGAGGACTGGACCGAACAGGAAGTCCCACGGCTTCACATTCTCAGCTACACTGGGACTGAGGACTGACGAGGTCTTGCTGTCAAAAGAGTTCCTGCTGTTTGAGGTTATGTATCCAAATTAATACGTGTGTCCAGGATGAATCTAATGAAATTGTAGGCTCTCTAGGAGTCACTGAAGTTCTCCAGGGCAGCCATGGAGCACGGAGGGAACATTAAGTGCGGGCCAACCCCTTGGCAAGCAGTTTGTTTCCATGGAAGACATCCCACTCTTCAGTCTCAGACTCCTGTTGTGAGATATTTGATTGCACTGTGTAAAGACATGTCACTGTGATTGGTTTAATAAAAAGCTAAACAGCCAATAGCTAGGCAGGAGGTTTCGGCAGGATTTCCTGACAGAGAGAGCTCTGGGAAGAAGAAATGGGGAATCTCCAGCCGGACTCAGAGGAAGCGAGACATGCAGAAGGAGAGGTAAAAGTCACGAGCCACGCGTGATAGCACATAGGTTAACAGAAATGGGTTAGGTTATAAGAGCTAGTTAGAAACCAGCCTAAACTAAGGCTGAGCTTTCATGATTAATAAGAAATCTCTGTGTCATTATTTGGGAGCTGGCAAGACAGAGACTCATTAGAGACTCCTCTTCCTAAACCCGAGGCTCACTGTCCCTTCACGTATTTTATTCTTCTGAAACGCCCTCTGTCGTCTAGAAACACACAGAAAAGGGCTGATCCTGTGCCACAAGCTAGACCTGCAAATGCTCTGCTTTTGCTATTTTATTCCTCCCAACTCTCAGAAGGCACAGTAGCACGTCAGCTAAAAGCACCTGCCCCGCATTAAAATGGCTCTGAGCTTGACATATCTGCCAGGTATCTAACCTTGAGAGCTGGGAACCCTGTTTCTCCTCTACAAGGGAAACAGGAAATAGTTTTCAGGTGTTGAAAGGAGGAAATGGAGTAACTTACTCGACAGACTGAGTACAGTGCCAGGTAAGCCAGGACTCAAGAGGTGGTAGCTGTTCTTGTTACAGTCACAGGGTCACCATTACACATGTCCCCAATTTACCCTTCCCATTCTAGAGACTTGAAATTCCTGGGGCCACTTGCCACTTGCTAGAAACTGTCATCCTAGCCTCTCCAAAATGAAGCAGAGTGCTCCAAATGGCCACTGGCCTGAGGAGGAGAGGCCTATGGACCTTTCTCGGCAGCTAGCTCCCACCACGTTTTCAGAGTGAGCTGGTGGTCAATCCAGCATCTCAGAGCCTCCGAGGGATCTTCTTCTTTCCGACACAAAATACTTCTTCATTCTGTCTTTGTGGAATCTCGTTTTTAGCCAATGGCAAATATAAAAGTTTATTTTTGGTTATTTTTCCTTATGGATTTTGTCCAGTATTTCAAGCTGATGGAATCATTAGGCTGTGCCACCACTGGCACTCACTGAATGATGTGAGTCTTAGGGCTCATCAAACCCATCCGATCACACTGCCTGCTTTGTGTCTCCTCTAATCTGATAAGGGTTTCCTCTGGTTTTTTGTTCATGCCTTTGATAAAATGTTGACTAAAATGAGCCAAGATCAAAGCCTGGTGACAATATTAATGGATATCAGTGTTCACTGTCATATAACACATTGCTTACAAAATAACTTGAATTAATGCATATGACCTAAATTAATTCTTAAACCAAGCAATAGTGGTGCACGCCTTTAATCCCAGCACTTGGGAGGCAGAGGCAGGTGGATCTCAGTGGTTTCAAAGCTAGCCTGGTCTACAAAGTGAATGAGGTTCAGGACAGCCAGGACTGTTACACAGAGAAACCCTGTCTTGGAAAAAAAAAAAAAGACTACCTTATAGGATATTTTAAATCTTTGTTTTGCAGGTATGAAAACTATAGTTCAGACAGGTTAAATCTTACGACCAAGGTCGCCTATCTGGAAGGTAGGCTGGATGCAGACGTGGGTCTTCGGACAGCCAGTTGGATTACTCACTTCTCTGCGAAAGTGCTTCATTCGACCACAATCTGCTAGGCGTGCCCTACTCTGTCCACAGAGAATTCATTAAGACCGTTCTAAAGTGATCTACTTGAAATATGCTATGAA